AAACTAACCTGACAGTCACCAAATGTTTGATCTCAGCTCAATAGTTTTATATTCATTATCATTTCCTGTTTTGTACAAATTTTAGCATTTCACACAAAAGTTCTGCAGTTTAATTCCCAGCATTGAGTCTAATTCCTGTAAGCGGTCACCAGACTACAGTGAGTTTTTCTTTCACTGCTTATTATGCCCAGAGCCTATCTGTTAGAAAAGAAAAATAAATGATAGAAGCTTAAAGTAAAGGTGTGGTTTGTGTGTGCGTCTGTTTTGTTTGTTTTAGGAAAGTCCCAGGCACAGTCACAGTGACTTATCACTTTAAACCAAGTTTCAGGACAATACCAAGCATTTCAATGAGTCAAATAACTCAGTGGTTGGCAGATCATGTATCTCCAGAGGTCAAAGGCAGGCTGTCCTTCACAGAAAACTGCCAATAACAGTCTTTACTCCCTAAAGAAATCTGCACTGTGTGAAAGCCACAGTGCCAAATCAAACCCCCAACAGCATGTCAATATATACCTGAGGTTCACACATTTGCCCACAAGACCGCTCTGAAATTGACAACATTCAGGGTGTACAAAGGGTGAATCGCAAAATACAGAACCATTAGTAAATGACAGGATAGCGACGCTGCACACAGTATCTTTTGGTGTTTTAGCGTGCACGGTGGGTTCACAAATAATTCAGCATAAGGCTGGGCGTTATGAGAAAAATCTAATATTGTGATTTTTTTGGGGTTATATCACAATACACGATATATATCACAATATTTTTAAATAACCTCCAAAAACAAATGTTATTTTCTTCCTTATAATGCTTAACATTTCACTGGTATACTCAATCAAATCAACCATTCCTTGTTTAGTTTTTTCTACTTTGAATACAAAAAAAATTTGAATTAATTAAAATGTTTTCTTTTACAATTTTTTACCATATTTGCCTTCACAGATTTTTCCCAAATGTCAATACTGTCACACAGTGTCTCTTTCTGTGGTTAACACTCGACCTTTAACAAATAAAAGATCATAACAATAAAAAAAAAAAGTACATTGAGCTAGAATTCACGAGACAAAATTAAACAACTGAAATTAAAAAGGTGCGTTTTTGTGCTTATGACATATACAAATTGTAAAATAAAAAATGTGATGACATCAAATTACAGAAACAAAAGTCTAGATAGTGAGTATGAAAACGACTGACCACGAACAGTCACAGGTATCGCAGCTGGTTTATTTAACATTTTCTTTGGTGTGTTGGGAGACGTTGACATGTGAAGTTTAAAGCGTCTTAATTTTGCAGTGGATGACTTCTCAGCTGATGGAAAAAATATGTGCTACCCTGCAGCAATAGTTTTATGGCATGTTTTGTAAATTACAACATTTTTTTAAACATCTTCCTTGTGAAATCCAAACGACAGCGAGTCTGAAACTCTCGCTGACGCCATATCTTCCCCTATCTGGTAGGGCTCACCACAGTGTACCAGGTAGAAAATTGTCTGGTCGGGAGGGAGGCATGAATTATGCATTCACAGCATGTGGGAGAAAAAAAAGAACTCAGTGCATTACATGCAGACAGCTTAATATTGCCATGGCAATTTATGCTCGATGGCAGGGGTGGGCGGTATAAACGGTATATGGTAGAAACGATAGAAATTTGGCCAACGGTAGAGATTTTGACTATACCGCTCTACTGCGATAGCACATGTTGATGGTGTCATCAAGCTGCCCCTGTTTTGGTCGAAAGCATTGCAGCGGCTGCAAACAACATCATCTGCAAATTATGCCGGGCGACAGTCATAGCAAAGAGCTGAAGCACTTTTGGAATATTGGGAAAGCCAAAAACTGCGCTTCCTCCACTTCCATACCATTGATTCATCATGCTCTAGTCCCATGTTGTTGCAGTATATTAATGACTAACCTCGTATTGTGGATGGATTATCTCAGTTGTTCTCCTGACTGAAGTTTGGCCTGTTTACAGCATCCTGCCATGCAATTGCATCCGACTTCAGTAACCCTACAAAAGTCACTGCTGTTTAGTTTTCTGTCTTCATTTATGTTGGAAGTGATAGCAGAGCTGTACGTTTTACTTTTTTCAGAAATCTCTCAGTCAGAACATGCTATATCATGTTTAGTTGGAAACCAGCGAGCTAACTTCCTGCTAACTTCTAACTCCATTTAATTTAATAAATTCTGTTTTCGTGGATGCCTGGATGTTACACTTAATTGTTATACCTGGTAAAGCAGCAACGCTGATCATTTTATTAAAGATGAAAGAATTTTGACAGTTTTTAACTTTCAGCGATGCTGCAGTGTTCATTTGACTTTGGGACCTGAAGCAGACGGAGTTTTGGACCCAGATTACTCCGCAAGGCTCCTGACTACAGCAGCCGTAATGCTCCGGCAATCCATCAAGCAGTGCGGCTTCATAGCTTACCAAAGTCGTACTAAAACATTTTTGACAGATTTCTGCGTGCCGTGTACTACATAAAATCGGTTCAAGGTCAGTAAGCACAACCAGAATTCATACATAAGGTACACTGTTGATTTTTGAGAAAATGTAAGGATTTTAAGTGTGCCTTATAGTGTGTAAAATAAGTTATACAGAAGAAAAGAATATATCACGATATATATCGTTACCGCATATGCTTCAAATTATACCATGATATGGATTTTAGGCCATATCGCCCAGCCCTACTTGATGGTTACGATAAAGCCATTTGATACGTGGAAAAACTCGCGATACACTGAGTATATTCGATATATCACCAACCCCTAATTCAGCACTCTTCACAGTTCCCACTATTTATTTTAAATGCCAAAGACTGCCATTTGATATAATCCATCCGTCTACACAGATGATGTCACAGAGGACGGAAGAAGTATGCCAGAGGTGGTTGTTGTTTTAAGAAATGTCCAAAAAAAGAAAAAGAAGAAAAGGGCATACATATTGCTGCCTTTTGCAACAGGAAGCATTGTGTTGCAAGTCTTTAAAAATGATTCAGGTCATGAGTTGTTTTCATCAGAACCATGTTTCTGAATTGCCGTCAAAGGCATTCCTGCCGCTACACAACCAGAAAAGTTACAGAGGAACTTTTTTTTTTTTTTTTTTAATCAATGGTGTATTGGATGAGGAAAAAAAAAGACATTTTCTGTGCATTAACAAAAATATTTTGTTGGGTGTATCCAAACTTGTCCTATTTAAATATTTAAATACATTTTTGGACATTTGGGACACTTAAAGTTTTGCAAACATTTTTATACCCTTGACTCTGACCTCTGAATAAATTTAGTTGGAGACCACTTGATGTCCAAAACAACATTTATTATTTATAATGACTGAACCTTAAATTATAGACGAGCCATCTATTGAAGCTTACTTCATTATCATTGGTGCTTCCTTCCCTGCATTGTCTATGCAAACATAAGGCTGAAAAGACTTCAATTCCTGTCACGATTTTCACTTCATGTGTGAAAAAAAAACTGTGTATAACCAAGGAAGACACAATGCTCAATTAGGGTAATGTGGTTATGTCTGTCACATTCCTCTGTGATGTGTCTACTTCTGGGAAATTAGCTTTCCTTAGAACTGTCACACAGGTAGCAAAAGATCTGAGCTTGATTTATACAAAACAGATCCATACTCACAAAAATAACCGTTTATATTCTGTCCTCAATTTCAGTGATAACAGGGCTGCAACAAAACATTATTTTTAATGAATGATAAGAGCGGGACAAATTTATACAAGGCCCTTTAAAGCAGTAAAATTTAATTAATTGTTTAATGGGTCTTATTTTCTTTCAGCAGCAACATAGCTGGGTTTTATTCCTAGCCCAAAGCAGGCAGGAAGGCATTTAACAAAAGACCATGACATGGCCATGCTGACTCTTTGACAAAAGATTAAATCCTTGAGTATTTATAGCAGCACACATACAACAAACATCAAGCACTCATATAAATGAGGTGTAGATGTCTACAATTAATGTGTGTGTGTGTGTGTTTTATCGTCTTTGCAGACTGCACAGGATCAATACTCATTTGGTTGCTGCCTTTGCGATCTGCCATTACCTCACCTCTATGATTTGAAGCAAACAAAGTTAGATCTTGACGCAACCTAAAATTTAATGTGGTGAGATCGTTTAAAACCAGAGTCTCCAACTCCAGTCCTCGAGATCCACTGTCTTGCAGCTTTTAGATGCATATCTACTCCAACACAGCTGAATGGTCACATACACTGCAGAATATATAATTGGCTTCATTATCGCTTCCTGCCAAGAATTTTGGACAACTGTGTTGAAACACACTGCACAATGAAAGGATTGGGCAACACCCAAAACTACAAAGAGGAAATTAAAAAAAAACCCAGAAAGCTGAAGGGGATCCATTCAATGTCAGTGTCTGTTTTAGTTTGTGCAGTTTATACGCAGACTCATATTAATACCCACAATGAGGCTTAACAGCTAGTTTTAAGTATACCTAATAAGACTGGTGGCCACATATGGAAAAAGCAAGAGAGATATTCAAAGATATATAGGCAAAAATAAACAGCTCATCGTACTTTAAATTATTATTTTTTTGTTTCCAGCAACAGCTTCACAACACCGTCAATACACGACCACATAAAATAACTTGTAAAATTCAAATATTTTTAACCAGCTCAGGTCTTTTCCTGGCCCTCTGGTGTGGAAGCAACGTTGGACCTTGTTGGACACTTGAATGTTAGACGTGTAAGGTAAACTCTGTAGCCACAGGAACGAACCTCCTTTTTCCTGTAAACTTTCCCTGACAGTGTGTTAGCCGTTAGCCATGTACCGTGTTTTCCCTGATAACACACACACACAGATAGACAGACAGACAGACAGACAGACAGACAGAGAGCGAGAAAGCAAACGGCGAAAATATCTCCTGACAAATAATTTTGATTCACACGCTCCAATATCGACGTGTTTACAGTCTCACACGAACCATTTTAGCACATACTGTAGTTAGCAACTATCATAGCTACTCACCGCTGGAAGCTACCACCGTCATCCAGGAAAAATACAGAAAAACGGCGTGGAATGAATCCATTAGCCCGATTAAAACTTCTTCAGTGTTCCAACTTAGCACTCACAGTTCAGCCTACACTCATACATATAGCTCGTCTAACGCTTTAACCAACAACAGCTTCACTGTGGAATAAGTGGGAGGAAAACCAGGACTACTGCGCTTGTCTGCCGCTCCTGTGTCGTGGTCCCTTCATGGACTGTCGTTTCTTGTGAGAGAGGAAGCAACTTAGCGTAGCGAGAAACCCACAAAAACGCGTGACAAATACTGGCTAAGTAGCTCATCTGTTTCCACTTTCATTTCACGTTGCTTTGTTTTTTATGTGTTGTTTTAAGGAACTTATTTAAATGCATTTTCATCTCGAGAAGGGGTTTTTTTTCAGGATTTTTTTTAATCTCCCAAATTGTGTTTTTCTTTTCAGTCCAGCAGTGGGTGGAAATTACAGTGTTTGTGATGACGTCTAGGCCACACCTTTTCACTGAAAACAAGTACATCAACGTAAATATATTAAATTTAATTATTAAGTAATATTGCATGCAGTAAAAGCTGATGTTTTGGACTGCTTTTTCGCGCATTTTCAGTCTAGTCCTTGTAAATGGCCAATTTTACAGGAATTTTGTTTTTGTGTTAAGCCACTAAACACCGGCATATAAATCCCTCAAGCATAAACTAAATCAACTAAATCAAGGGATGAACTTGAGTGTGACTATGCATAGCAGACAATTTAGCAAAAAGCCATTTAAAATCATATCTTTTGGGACTTTGTTACTAGCAGCCTTCCACAAAAAGATACAATTTGTTGGATATAATTTGAAAAACATAAAATAGTAATTTTTGCACTAACAAGGCAACTCACAAATAGCTCTTAGTGAAAAAATTGGTGTATGTGTGGCATGCAGTCTTCTTGGCGAGTGAGGGGATTTCTAAACCACCAATTCACACCTTCAGCTGATATTGTGATAATAGTTGACAACATTTGCAGGAAATCCCATGTTAAATATACTCCTAAATCACTTCTCATTCTTTACTTTTCTGAGGTGTTACTATATTTAAACTGGAGGTCTGGAGAAAATACATATGAAAGTTAATCAAAACCACTGCATCTTCTGGGGGGGGGGGCAATCTGTTGCCAAAGGTAGTCAGAAAGGTTTCTTTGAAGATACACAGTGTTTAAAAAACTAGGTAAAGTTTTAAAGTTATTCAAATTTGGAGTAAAATTGTAGAATAAACTAAGCTTTGCATTAAAGCCCAAAATGGTACAGGTCAAAAGCAACGTTTTTCTTGTTTGCAGTGTACTTTCATTTTATTTACATGTTTGAAATCAATCAGTCTTCTTCTTCTTCTATCCACCACTCTCTATTATTGTCTGCTTTCTTGTCGTCGCGGTGTATAGTCTTTTCCTCTCCCACCATCACTTGTCCTCTGGATATTGTTTGGACCTGACCTTACAGATATGATTGTTTTTAATAACACTACTGCTCCTTGTGGGTACACACATATGCAGAAAGGTGCATCTTTAGATGGGCCAATTTCGACTAACCCTATGTCTTGACTTGTCACAGTAGGCCATAACATGATCAAAAGTTACATATTAATCCTAATTATTAAATCTCAAAACAAGCGATGTGGATCAACAGGTGCTCATACAACTAGTGGTGCAGACTTATCATTTAAATGTGGATCATACTTGACTCAAATATATGGCTCTTGTAGTTTGAATATGTAGGTTAAATGCTTAACATGGTGATTCCATTATATAAACACATTGTTGGTATATAGTGTATACGAGTATATATGACTATGTAGTACATTTGTCGAGTGTAGGTATATATATCCAATCCAATTTTATTTATAGAGCACTTTAAAATACCCAGCACAGGACCAAAGTGCTGTACAGAAAATACGTTAAAACAATAGAATAACAGAAAACAGCAAAATAAATAAATAAAACACATAATACATAAAAATTAAAACAGCCCTATATTAAAAAAGAAAACAAGATAAAACAGCATAGAATCAACTAAAAAGGCCAGAGTAAAGAGGTGGGTTTTCAAGAGTGACTTAAAAACAGGTAAGGAAGTGGCCTGTCTAATCTCTAAAGGAAGCTTGTTCCACAGTTTTGGAGCTGCTACAGCAAAAGCACAATCTCCTCTAAGTTTACGCCCCAGTCCTGGGTACATTCAGGAGCAGCTGATCAGCTGACCTGAGAGAGCCGGTGGGTGTATAAGGGTGTAGCAGCTCAGAGGGATACGATGGGGCTAGGCCATGGAGAGCTTTAAAAGCAAATAAAATAATTTTAAAATGAATCCTAAAAGAAACGGGCAGCCAGTGAAGTGAAGCTAAAATAGGGGACATGTGCTCAAACTTTCGAGTGCCATTTAAAAGTGTATATAGTGTATACAAGTATATATGTCATCAAAAAATCCACAACAAGCTCAAAAATTGAGTTAATTATGTAAATACATAAACTGCCTTTGGATAAGAGAGAAGCAGAGAGAAAGAAAGACTTCTGACTGAGCTACGTAAATATCATTAGAGATAATGTCGCACTGCACTGTAAACTCAGTGAGCCTGCCTGTGCTGTCAAGGAGCACAAATAAAACATGCTGTAAGTCTTGCTAGCTCCCTGTAAGCTTTAGTAGAAAAAAATGGCATCATTATGTGTCTCCATGCTTGATGTAACCCCTTGCTCATATTGTGTGCAACCAGAAATTGCAAGAAAAGCACATCCATTAATTACCGGTGAACTGTTAACAGTTCTCACAACAAATCAGTTTCTTCCAGTGAAAATATCTCATAAACAGAGAGTTTATTGAAGTTCAGTGCCACCATCTCCAAACCATACACCATAGCAGGCTTTTATCAACCCCACATTAAACCCATATGTCACTTCTACCACACACCTTATGTCCACATACATGTCCAACACCACCCCCACATACTTCTCTGCCACTTCTGACTTCCTCATACAGTGGCTTCCTCTCTTGGCATTGTTTTCATCATTCAAAGCTCCTCTAAGTAATCCTTTTACTTTTTTAGCTGACTCTCTTCACTTGTAAGCACATTTCCATCTCTATTTGTCCTGACCTCATGCACATCCTTTCCAGCTCGATGTGGTGGTTGCCAATAGCTATTTAAGTCGTATTTGCCTCCCTCATCAAATTTGAAAAAGCACAATGTAAAGATGCTGCAAACTTAAATTAAGTAGAGAAAAAGCTAGCAAATCAGTATGCGTTTCCCCCTACAAATGCTGTCTGTTTACACCCAGATCATCACCATCATCAGTCAAGATGCAATTCTTAGTGGCAGACAAAAAAAAAGAAGCATTTTTCTTCTAAAAACATTTTTCAAAAATGAAGAAAATCAGAAGTATAGAATAACTCAAAGAATGAAGAAATTCACTGAAAATAACTTGAGTGTAGCTTTTCTCTCTTGAACTGCAAGACATTAAATTTTAGGTTGTTCCATCGAGATCAAGTCGAATTCTGGGATTTCCGATAGCACTTGAAAGCAGCAAACTTTGGATCCCTTCCATGTCCTTAACGGGAAATCACCCGTTTTTCCCATGTGTCAAGCCAAAGAAGACCCTCCTCACAGCCATTATGTGTTATATTTACTGGCAGACAAAAAAAATTAAAAAGCCATTTATGGAGCCGTCACGTTATATAGCTTATGACCGAAATATGTTTTAATTCCAGAAACTTTAATACAGTAATGACAAAAAAAGTATATATAAAAAAGTAAACAATAGGATTCTTCATGGGTCACTTATATTCAGAGCAGACAGAACTCTATTGTATTGCACTTAAGGCTGAACTCAGTCTCTTCCAGATGTGAGTTACAGCTTCCTAAGTGGGATACTTCCCACATCTTGACGTCAGCTGGATGTTTGACTTTCCCTCCCAATTCCAGCCTCACTCTGACGCATTCGCATATCTGGTCCTCAGCAGCATTTTGGGGTAAGTTACACAGCAGAAAACCATGAAAAACTTTCTCTATGCTTACTAACACTGAAGAGGATTTAGTGTACACTAACAGCTGTCAAATGTGTACTTTTAGGTCCTGTTGTTAACGCTATGTAAGGATCAGAAAGCCGAGTCCTATGTGCATTCTCATATTACATTACATAGCTTATGCATTCCTGGTAGTGTGCGTTATGCAACAGAAATATTCTCACAAATCTCTTTGGGTGAAACAGATATGCTCATGATGCTGGATTGTCAATCGAGAGTGTCTTAAATTCACTGTTTTGTGTCTCTTCACACTTTACAGCGAACCCCTGAAAGTCTTTCTTCTGAGACTGCTGAACAAACACGGATTTCACAGAGATTAAACTTAGGTTGTTAAACAGGACAGAAATTAAATTAAACTCCGACCCAAAGAATACAACCTGATGTTTGAATTTTATCAGTGAATCACTGCATTAACAGACTCTTGCTGGACAGCGATTCATGTTTTTCAAATACAGGGGAAGAGAAAGGAAGACAGTGTTCCATCCCAAATATAGTCACGTGAAAACAAAGGTTTACACAAATCTCTGTGTCTTGGGAAATACCAAGTACACCCCATTAATTTAATAGCTTCCCCCCCCTCCGCTGTATATTTTCATCAGTCTCTCACATTGTTCTTTCTTCTAGCATTGTTAGTAGGCCCCGATACAGAAATTTAATCAGAATGAGGGTTGGGCTTTAACTGTGACATGGCAACACCGTGATCCTTTTCTTTTTCAGCCATTCTGCTGTGCTTGGGATCACTGACCTGTTGCATCACCCAGTTTCAGCCAAGCTTTAGCTTTGCTACAGATGGATTCACCTTTGACCCCGGAATACTTTGCTATACAAAAGAGTTGATGGTGATAGCGCTGATGTGCTCTGTTTGTTTTTCAC